TTTTTTTTTTTGGGGGGGTTGTATAATGGGAAAATTGTTATTCCTTTCCCCCCCCCCCCCATTTTGTCTACTTGTCACTACTTTTGCAGAGCCCAGAAGCACTTTATATTTCAACCAGGCCTTTCTATCAAGTGTTGGTATAGGCTTTCCAAAGTCACCTGGTTTCAAACTCTTTACTTCTTGCCTACCATAGATGGACACATCAAGTGCCTTCCCTGCTTGAAGGGGTCCCAGGTCTGCAGGAACCATGCAAGGTAATCACTTCCTAGACCAGGAAGGAGTGTGAAGTCATACTTCAGGTTTACCTCCTGCCATCATCAGGCTCTGAACACAGAGTGTAGGACTCAATTGGAAGCAGGCCTTCCAGTGAGCAAATTCCTTCTCAAAGACTATCTTCCATACAGTGCCAAAGATGAGCTTCCTGATGAACATAGGCCTGGAGACCGTTCCAAAGGGAGATTGCCATTGCAGGATCCTCAAGAGAGATTCTTTACTTCACTTCTAAACTTCATGGCCCCATGAAGAATATTGACAAAGCTTAGAAATGTCCCTTTCTAGAGCTACCAATGTGCCTTCCTGGAGTCTCTCCCTCTTCAGGCCCTAAGAAATTGGGCCCCCAAGGTTCCTCCTTCAGCACCTAGTTATCATGGAACCACCTTCTTGGCACCAGTCCTTATTTCAGTAGTGCTGCTTGCTCCTCCACTGAGACTCTGTTGTCTCCCTACAGCCTTCTGCCATTCTGTCCCATACACCAATGTCAGTTTCTCCAGAGATTCTGTTTTTATTCTGTGGTTTCCATGTGACTAATCTGAAATGCCCCTGCCTAGCTGAGGCAGTTTTGGTTTCCAGAGCTTCTGATCTTGGAGAGAAGCCCAGGACTGCTGTTCTTGGACCAGCTTCTCCAGAACAGGACACTCCAGAAATATCTGCATCCCCTTACCTTCATAGCATCAATGCTGGAGGGTTCTCAGTAATGGAGTGGGCTTGCTTATTCCATCAGGGACATCACTGATAACTGAAGATGCTCTACTAAATGAACCTACCTACCTGTTATGCAAGGCTTTTCCCCCACTGTAAGGTGGTTATTGGAGGTATATTAGACTACTACACAAAACGGAAGCAAAGTGATCTCAGTTGTCATCACAATGTCACTCTATTATTGTAACTTGTCACCCACCCACAGAGGGTCAGCCTTTTCTACCCAGCAGTATTAAAGTTTCCCAATTATGACAAAACATATTCCTGATGATGAGAAATGGGTCCCTCAGTGCAACCTGAACTTTAAACTTTATTGTCTTAGTGAACACACATTTGTAATGAAGGTAATTTGCTTGCTTTCCATTTGTCCATGAAGTGGCTTTGTTGGTGTCTATCACTCCATCAGAGAGAGAAGGGCAAGATCCAAGTGAGATCTTTGTACATAAATAAATAATTAAAACTCACTCCAAGTTTTAATTTATTTGCAAAATTTGTCTTAAGCAGCAGATGTGACTATTGCTTTTTCCTGCATAAACCTCACTTCCTGAGAGCTTGGGTGTTTTTCCACAAACTGATTATTTTTTCTCTCTGTAGAACTAACGCATTTTGGGGAAATTTTGGCTATTTTTACCCAGTAGTTCAATGATCAAAGGATTCCATTGATTTTTCTACCCAGAGGCTTTACAGTGGATATCATAATATATCAATATGTTCTACCCAATAGAATCATAGAAAATTAGGGTTGGAAGGGACCCCAAGAGGTCATCTAATCTAACCCCCTGCACAAGGCAGGACATTCCCAACCAGATCATTCCAGCATTGGCTTTGTCAAGGTGAGCCTTAAAAACCTCCAAGGATAGAGATTCTACCACCTCTGTAGGTAACCTGTTCCAGTGCTTCACCACCCTCTTAGTGAGAGAGTTTTTTCTAATATCCAACCTAAACCTGCCTTGGTATAACTTGAGACAGTTG